AGAGTCACCATTGCCTTCTGTAATTCAGGTAGTAAACGGGCAACATTCTTATCAGTCTATCAATAGTTATAAAAAGGTTACCTACAAAGGAATTTACCCCGGCATCGATCTGGAATTTCTTGCAAAAAAGGGTACGGATAAACCCGTTGAATATAATTTTATCGTTCACCCCGGCGCTGATGCCGGTCAGATACGTATGAAGTATAATAGTGGCAACAATATTGTACTGAGAGATGGGATGATTGAAATGAAACTTTCGTTCGTAACCTTACGCGAAAAAATACCGGCCTCTTATACCGAGGGAGATGGTAAGAGCCTAGCAGTTCGTTACAGGGCGTTGGGTGACGCACCACATACCTATTCCTTTAACATTCCTGATTACGATCATAAAAAAACGCTGGTGATCGACCCAACGCCTTCCCTGTCATGGGGTACTTATATTGGTGGCAATGAGTTGGCGGGAACCTATGGTTTCGACATGGTAGACGCAGTAAAGACGGACAACCTGGGCAATGTAATTATTATTGGTACTACGAGCGCCCCTAACGGCATTGCCAGCGGAGGTATCGCTAATGCTACGATATCGACAGTATCTTATCGAAACGCATACATTGCTAAATATACGTCTTCAGGAGTAAAGACATGGGCCTGTTACGTAGGCGGCAATCTTGATGACTGCGGCGTGACTGTTGAAATAGATGGCAGCGACAATATTTATGCGGGCATAATCGCGGCCTCCACCAACCTGAATACCGCTGGCGGAAGCGGACACTTTGGCAACAATGGTTCGTGGGATGGCTATGTGATGAAGCTTTCACCGGCAGGTGCCTACCAATGGGCTACCTATATGGGTGGTCCCGGTGTTGAATTTATTTACGCTATGAAGCTGCTTCCCAATGGCAATATTGCCGTTGGCGGAGTTGCATCCGGAGGGGGCAATATAGCGTCAGCTACCGGCTACGACCAGACCTATGGTGGTGCTACTTATGATGGTTTTGTGAAAGTGCTGAACACGACAACAGGCGCTTCCGTGTGGGGTACTTATTATGGTGATGCGGGTGACGATTATGTGCTGGGTATTACCTGCGATAAGGATGCAAATATTTATCTCTCCGGGGCAACAACAAGTACCGCCAATATTGCTGCCGCGCCCTCTATTCAAAGTAATTTCAGCGGCGGTTCGGGCTATGATTTTGCAATCGCTAAATTGTCTGCCACTGGTAGCAGGATATGGAGTACCTATTATGGCGGTGTTCTTGATGACGCAGCTTATGATATTCAAATAGGACCTGATAGCAACCTGGTGATTGTTGGGCGATATTCCAGTACTACAGGCGGAACTTCAGGTACTTATCAACCTGC